CGGCGCTTTAGCACCAGCGCTCAAACGCTGTTTCAAATGTTGAGCAACAGCCAATGAGAGGTGTCCAATTGAGTACAATCGAAGTGATACTTTTTGTCCAATTTTATAAATAAACTAAATAAATGGTAAACTATTTTTATTATGTTTCTTTGTATTAAATGATATGTAATCTATTTGATTTTACATGTTTTTCACAAAATTAAAAAATTCGATCTTTAGCAGCCATAAAACTGATCTAGTGATTTTTTGGTGACAATAGCGTGTCCAAAGTTCGACCAAGTTCAACTTTTTCAAACAGCATATATACGCACATATGAAATTTTTGACTACACAATATACAATAGTGTATGTACGTGTGTACGTAGAATACGTACTATATATGGTGAAAGAAAAATTCATTTAATTCGATGTTGATCTGTTTAAACATCGGTGTAATACCGGATTAATGAATTTTTTTCTTTTACTAAATGTAGTACGTATTATACGTAGAAATAGTTAAAAAAAAGTTGTACAAATAGTTGAAAAGTTGCAAGAAATGGCCAAAGTAAGTACTTCAGCGAATATCTTTTGCAATAAGATTCCACAATATATTGTGGAAATAAATGTGTATATTAGAAATAATAAATATAATTGCACATTCCATATTAAATGTGTAATAAAATTCTGAAGAATTATATTATTTGTTGAAACAAGGTAATAGTTACAGCGAATAACATTACGTTATTGATAACTGAACAAATTTTTAGGAAATCGTGTAATTTTTTATTGAATCTTCATACAAAATACCCAGATAGATAAATTTCGTTATATATTTTCTGCAAGATGCTTCCTCATATAACAAGCAGATATGTAGCATGCGTGCTTCATATGACAAGAATTTTGACACAATATAAAAGACGTGATCTGATGTCACAAAAATTGAGGCAATTACAACGATATTCTGATATCATTTTATACATCATAAAATTGCATCAGAATACCGCTGTAATATTGCCTCAATTTTTATGACATCAGATGATGTCTTTTATATTCTGCCAAAACTCTCTTGTCATATGAGGCACGCATGCTGCATATCTGCTTCTTATATGAGGACGCATCTTGCAGAAAATATGCACCACAATCTGTCTATCTGGCTATAAACAAAATTCTAACGAATTTGATAATAGTTTAATTCACTATATATGGGGAATGCTGTCACTTACAGTTATAATCTTTTCAGAGATTATTGCAATGCATGTTTACGTAAGTTAACATGTAAATTTTCTTCTTGTAGGAAAACATTTGTGCATTATGTGACACAGCAATAGATATTGACATTGTAATGGACCATGAGTGTTACAAAGGATATACTAAAATCCATGTTGATGATGCAGGCTACATATATCCACAGCTTGGTAAGTTTTTATCTTTTGTATCGCAATTATTAAAAATGATTATTGACATAAAAATTATATTCAAGAGCATACTTATATAGCGTATTATATTCGAGGACATACTGTATAGATACACTTTTGCAGATAATGGTATGATTGTCGACCCAAATGAAATTCATGATGAACCATTGACCGAGATTCTTAGGAATGAAATGTTGATTAGCGAAGTCCAAAAGCGAGAAGCCTTATGGAATTTTAAAATTCCTGTTACCGAAAGGGGCAGGAGTATTATTCAGATATTATGGGAGGAGGTAGTGTCTGCTATGAATGGTATGTTAGTCAAGCACAATCGTATTTCTTCATATAAAATATTCTCGAAACAATAATTAGTTTGCAATTTTCCTTAGGTAACATCAAAGATGTTAATGAGGCCAAGAATATATGGAAAAAACTTCGTTACAATTACAGCCGAATTTTAATAGAGCAATAGCAAGAAAAGCGGTTCAGCTGGTAGTGGAATGAAAAAAAATAAATGGCCATACTATGAAATGATGGCTTTCACTAAAGATCTCTTCATCGAGAATAGAAAGTAAATAATAAAATCATACATATAACATATTGTTTGTAAATGAATAATGTATTTTTAATTATGTATTTTGTCTATTATTTATAGAAGAAGTTCCAATGTATCAATATTAAA